TGGAAAATTGATACAAAAAATGATCTAAGTTTAACTGTTTCCAATATCTCAAGGTTAGAGATCTTCAACTGAAAGAGGAACGTGAGAAGGTTCGTGTCTTAGAAGAGTCTCTGAGAGTGCTAGCCACAGAACATCATGACCTAGAGGAGTCTATTGCCTCGCATGTATCTTCCAATGGCTCGTCTATCTACAACACTCCAGCAAACACCTATGTATCGCTGCCCAGGCCTCGGAGGTTCTTTGATGCAGTCAGCGATGATGAGTTCTTTGATGCATTTTCACAAGGTTCATTGTATGATTTTTTTTTGTTTTATTTTTAATGTTTATTTTTTAAAGTGCAGCACTATAATGGAAGAATGACCAAATTTATATAGTGTAATATTTATAGTATGCCCTCACATTCCTAAGTATGAAAAGTTATATAGATTAGATTTAATTGTTATTTTTGAAGTTGATAATTTATTTTTTAATTAGCTTTTAGGTTTGGGGATTAAGCTACCTTTTAGATAAATTCAGCATTGGCAGGCTCTTTATTGCTCTAGTCATGGTCGAATTAATTCTGATAAATTGGATTCATTGTTATTTTGCCTGTCATAGGCACATGGTCTATGATTGTAATGGGCACTCCATCTACAGTTGCTCCCTTCCATAGCCATAATTGGTGATTGATGGGAGGATATTAAAATTTCTAAGGATTCTGATACTGCTTCCTCTAAGGAGTCTAAATTCTGATAGTCATCAGTTCTGATTTTCACATAGCTAGATACATAATTTGTAGAAAATTTTTGTATTTTTTAGTTTGAAAACTTAATGATTTACATTATGAGCATGGTAAATGTGTTAATAACATTATAGATTGATTTAAGAACAGAAAAAACTGGCAAATCCACATTAACTACTGGACTGCGCTGGCTGAGAAAACTAGTTTTGTTGGAAACTGCACGAGCTGAGAAAACACCATTTTAATATTTTGTAGGCATTCAAAACGCGCACGTGGTTGGTTGAATATGAAATAGACTCTTGGGACCTCCAGTGAGAGGCAGCCACCTTGGAAAAAATTCCCAAGGTCTGCTGGCTAGCTTAATTCAGAGTGAGCAACCATGGATGACACACGTGCCTCTAGCTCCCAAATACCTGTTCGATGCGGTGTTGAAAGATCGTTCTGTCGGTGAAATTCAGACCTTGTTGTTTGAATAACATAAGAGTCATGATATTGATGAAGCTAAGCACAATAAGGACTTAACACAAGGGTCAGATGCAAGTGATACAGCACCGATGAGGATGATACAGCAAGCGTACTCATTAGTAGCTGGGTGCCACCCATGCTCACCCGTGTTATCTCCAATTTTTATAGGTGATGCATAGATGAATCGTTTTCTGGGTTCAGTGATGATACATCCGATACAAGTAGCATAGATGAACAGTGTTAGCGGCTTCCATAGTGGTGATTTCCATCGATCTCGTCCAGATTACCTTACAAATTGATCTTTTCCTATAACCTTTTAAAGACTACCTTAAACAGCCAATAGCATGCATAGTATTCCAGGCAAGTCCTTAATCCCATGTTTCCCAGAATATGACACGCCAAATCGTTTAACAACCAAGTACCCATTTTACTGTTTCGCAAACAGAGGCTACAGTTAAGGATTGACGCCCAGTAAATACTTCCCGGCCAGGATACGAACCCAGGACAAAGCGCTAACAAAATCACAGGCGAGTGTATTAACCACTACACCATGGCAACTGCAGTTACACGAGTGCATTATTTGCAAGCACACAGAACAAAGAAACGAAGCGAAAATCTGTACCTAGTGCATTGAGAGCGGAGTCGTGCTATGTACCATGGAATGCTTCTTTGATTATCACTCACTTCCGAAGTACTGAGTGTGTAATACAGTGTGTGACTGCATAAATAGTGTGTGAAACTGTACATATTGTAATTTTAGTGAATTTTGAACAAGTAATATTGCGACAATAAACATTTATTGTGGACACATTACCGACACATATATCATAGTTCCATGGAACATTATGAACGTTCTACTGTGTAAATATTGTAAATGACACATACTGTATATGCATCGGATATGATAAAAAAAATTATGAAGCATTGAAAATACATAGGAAAATTATTTGTAAATATATTTGTGGCAACTTGCGAGGCTTGAATGGCCCGCGCGACCACTTCTGGGAGCTTGCCAGTGGTGATGTCACGCACCAGTTTGTCGACGTCCCTACAGTCAAAGCAAGTGGAATTTTTCTGTGGGGAGCCCCTACGGCTCCCTTGAGCTATCGGGCTAATGTGTGATATATTAGACTGGGGCATTTGTCTGGAGTTGGACCTACCAGGGACCACGAGCCAGAACCTGGTCCCTTCAGAGAGGTTGCAGGGAGCAATGGCCCTGGAAACATCCCCTGTGGTTAGGGGTTTTCCTTATCTGCCATCAACCGGGGTTAGGCACCCAGGAAAGTAGGCATAACAAAACAAACCCAACACGGTAAGAAAGTAACTAAAAAATGAAGAGAGGTAGAACTCCCTCCAATCCGAAGCAAACATCACACTACGCTGACCCGCCACTCGTCCACGCAGCCCTCCCTTCCCGGCACTGGCTGCCCAGCAGTCCCACCTCATTAGCTAATGTGGTCCTGGGCAGACATCTTCTCTGGCCTTGAATTCAAAGGCGGTGTTTTGCCTTCATGGCAACCTCTGCTGGGTTGTTGTGTGTGGTGGCCAGGTGTTCCTCATCAGTGTCGGCTGCATGTGCTTAGGGGCTTCCTTCCTTAAGCGCCCTGTGAGTACTGCCCTTGCGTGTTAGGATTCCCTTCCCTGGTGTTCGGGATAACCATTTCCGTGGGGGTTCTTACTGCTCAGCATTTACCCAACCCTTGGGACCAGCTGGGGTTTCGTGGCTCTAGTTTGGCCTTGGGTAGGGAGTGGTATTGTGCTGATTGGGGCATCAAGGTGTTGTGCTGCCTGCCTACTTACGTGGCAGCCAGTTCCTGTTTCCTCTGGGGACGTTGTACTTTTGCGGTGTTTTTTTTTTTTTTTTCTCCTGGTGGGGGTCTCCCTGGTGTGGCTATTATTCTACTTAAAATAGTTTGATGGTCCTCTGCTAGCGGCCCCCATGATTGTACACATCTCGGGGGTTTGTGTTTTGATCTCCCCTTGTTAGCTTTGGGCTAAACTGGTTAGCAACACCTTACGAGGGCTTTCTGTAGCAGTCAACCTAAGGGGCTCTGGAAAACCCTGTCGGGGCTTGATAGCCCCGACAGGTTTTCCCAATCAGGGAAATCATTTGGATTCGTCTTAAGAGTTCTAGCCCGCCTTGTGCGGGTTCATAGGTTGCTGTGTGCCCTTGTCTCAGGTTGACAGGTAACTCTTTTGCCTCAATTATGCTGCCTGTTGGGTCACTGACACCTTTGACACAGAGTCTTGCGAGTCTTGTTCTCTGCTTGTTCTCCGGTACTATTCTGATGACATTACTGTTAGAGTACAGGCAGCCCCCCTTCTCTGTACGAGTATGATTTGGGTTCTGCTTCTCTCTGGGTTCGGTTCTGGGCTCTCTTGGGTTCCTCGGCCCTGTTCTTCGGGAAGTTCAGGAGGCTCTTGCTGCATACCTCCTACGAAACCCGGATTCAGCCTCCGTTATGACCTGATTTGAGTTTGGTTCCTCTTCCCTCTACTGGGTGCATTTGGAGGTTCTGGAGTCTTCCTGGCTGGCAAACAACCCTTTCTTTTCGTTGGGGGGTGTGGCATGGGTTCTGTCAGTCCCATGCACTTGAGTGGCGAGAAACATCTACCATTATACAGGTTTACCTGGGAAGGCGGGGAGCGAGTTTGAGCGCCTTAATGCATGCTTTCTCGGGATGTTGGCCTTGTGCAGGTACACGTGCAGGTTCCTTCCCTTTCGGCGTCCTTGGTTGCGGAGGATTTGCACGTCCGTGGGCAGTTGGCTTCAGTCTTGTGCTTCTTTTCCCTCCTTGTGCCGTCTTCTGCCTGGCTTCAGGAGGATTTGGAAGTGTTGAGTGCCGGGCCTTCGTCTGGTGTGCTGGTGTCTGCCACACTGTTGAAGCCATTTGCATCTATCTTGAAGGAGACTAGTCTGTGTTCTTGGCTTATCACCTTGTGTGCCGTCAGGCTGTGCTCGCCCTCAACTTGAAATCCGCTTGGGCCCTGGCTGGCTCTTTGGTTTTTGTCCTCTCTCTCTTCCCTCCCCCCCCCCTTTTTTCCCTTTTCTTTTTTCTTTTCTTTTCTTTTATAGAAAGGCGGCCATTCTAGGTCTTTGTGAAAGGTTGTGCCAGGGCTCGGGGTTCTGCTGGTCAAGGTGGGTCATTGTTGCCAGCTTCTGAGCCGACGTTGCCTTCGGAGCCGGTGTCATCTAGTTAGTGCAATGATTGCTCTGTTCAGCAGTCAGTATCTCGTAAAGGTCATCGGTCTTCTTGTGATTTGCCCCGTTGATGGGGTAATGAGTGGAGGCTCACTCTGTTTGCTCGCACTTGGTCACACGATTTGTGGACATTTACAGTTGTCATCCAGCCTGTGGTGTCGTTGGGCAGCGGCTCCTCCTTTGGGGGATTCGGGGCAGGCTTCTTCAGATCATCTTGGCGTGGGTGAGCTTGGGCATGGTTGAAACGACCCCATCACTCAGGTGGGTTTCCTGCCTGTTTCCAGTGCTGAAATGGGACTGTACGTATCTGAGGATCATTGTGAACTTGTCTCATCTGAATCCCTGGATTCCTTGCCCCCACCTTTCGGATGACCACTCTCTCGGATCAGGCTTCTGTTGGAGTCGGGTCCCTGAACCTCAAGAACAAATATTGGCTCGTTCCTATTCATCCGGGGTTCAGGGATTGGTTATGTTTCATGGTGGGGCATCATGCTTACAGCTTTTGTTGCCTTCCTTTTGGCTTGAATCGGGCACCTCGCATATTCATACATCTTACCCAGGTCGTGGTGACCCATCTAAAGTCTACTAGGAGTTCGGGTCTTGGCCTACCCCGACAACTGGCTGGTGTGGGCTCGAAGTCGGTCCGCTTGTCTGCTCGCCAGAGATGTGGTTCTTTCCTGGCTCGCTGGGTTTGGGTTCCTGGGTCTCTTTGGTCCTTGCCTCCTTGGGGCTTCTCTTTGGTCCTTGCCTCCTTGGGGCTTCTCTTTGGTCCTTGCCTCCTTGGGGCTTCTCTTTGGTCCTTGCCTCCTTGGGGCTTCTCTTTGGTCCTTGCCTCCTTGGGGCTTCTCTTTGGTCCTTGCCTCCTTGGGGCTTCTCTTTGGTCCTTGCCTCCTTGGG